AAAAAACGAAGTCCAGATGACATGATTCAACCTTTTTTGTTGTTATATACCTGGATGACTGAGAAAACAAACTTTGTGTTTTTAAAACTCAAATCATTTAAGAAAGTAGGACAAAAGAAAAATAAATCAAGATCAACATTAGACGAACAACTAACAATGAAAGAAATTAAAATGGCATTAAAAGACACAAGAAATGCGGTGCCAGGAGAAGATAATATATGTTATATCATGTTAAAACATCTACCAGAAACAACTTTAAGTATAATATTAAAACTATTTAACAAAATATGGGAAGAAGGATCAGTACCTCTGAGTTGGAAAAGAGCCATCATTTTACCATTTAATAAACCGGGGAAGGACCCAACAAACACAGACAATTATAGACCATTAGCATTGACATCTCACTTATGTAAATTGATGGAAAAAGTACTAATTAATAGATTGTTATTTACCGTTGAAAAAAGAGAACTTATCAATAAGTATCAGAGCGGATTTAGAACAGGTAGATCCACAGTGGATGCTCTAGTTAGAGTATGTTCAGATATTGAGAAAACTCTAAAAATGAAAGAAATTATGATAATAGTATTCTTTGATATTGAAAAAGCGTACGACTCAATGTGGAGAGAAGAACTTCTTATAAAATGAGAACAAATGGGAATAGATGGGAGGATGTACAACTGGATCTCCAGCTTCTTGAAGGAAAGGTTAATAAGAGTTAAAGTAAGGGGTGAACTATCAAGAGATTATAAAGTAGAAAACGGCACTCCTCAAGGAAGTGTAATTAGTCCGGTACTATTTAATTTAATGATTAACAACATGTTTGCAAATCTGGATAGGGGTATTAGATCTGCATTATATGCAGATGATGGAGCTATATGGATGAGGGGTAGAAATTCTCCTCATATAGCTAAATGTATAAGAAAAGCAATAAATCAGATAGAGAAATGGTCTTATGAATGGGGTTTTAAATTGTCAGTAAACAAAACCAACTACATGGTGATTACACACAAAAAGAAGATCAATATTGGTCATTTCTTATTATATGGGCAACAGCTGAAAAGGGTTAATGAATTTAAATATTTAGGTATATGGTTAGACAGTGCGTATTCATGGCAAACACAATTGAATGAGATGGAAACTAAGTGTAAAAAAGTAATAAATTTAATGAAAGCAGTGGCAGGAAATAATTGGGGAGTTGATAAAATATCTTTATTAAATATCTACAGAGCTCTAATGAGATCGACACTGGACTATGGATGTATAGTTTATGGAGCAGCAACAAAAACTAAACTTCAAAAATTAGATAGACTACAATCCAGAGCACTACGGGTGTGCACAGGAGCGATTAAAACGACACCCATAAACGCAATTCTTGTAGAAACTGGGGAAACGCCATTAGAAATGAGAAGAATAAAACTGTCACTATCATACTGGATCAAACTTAAAGGAAATAAAGAAGGAAATCCAGCAGCTATGACAATACAGAACTGTTGGGAGTACTACAAATATCAAGGAAGAGGATTTGGATGGAAAATAAATAAATTAGCAGAAATATATGGGATAGAAAATATAGAATTTGCTAGGAGTAATCCAAAAAGTGTTATATCACCCTGGCTAATCCCTGAAAGTAAAGTGGGCAAAAAATTACTAGAATGGAAAAAAGAATGGAAAGGTAATGAAATAGAGGTGAAATCTAGCAGATATATTAAAGAAACATATTACAATTACTTAGAAATCTATACAGATGGATCAAAAAACGATCAGGGAAGGGTGGGAATAGGAGTCTTCATACCAGAATTTGAAGTATGTATTAACAAAAGAATTTCAGATCACCTGTCAGTGTTCACGGCTGAGATGGTGGCGGTTATATTTAGTTTGGAATGGATTGAGGAGGTTAGACCAGATAGAGTGGCAATATTCACAGATTCAAAAGCGGTAATAGAAAGTATAAAGTCAAACGGAAACAATAGGAAAGACCTCATTTTAGAAATTCAACATGCATTATTTAGGTTGCACAGAGGAGGAATTGTTGTGCATTTTTGTTGGGTGCCAGCACATGAAGGGGTGGAAGGGAATGAAAGGGCGAATGAAATTAAAATCACATACATCATTTTACTGTAATTATATTATGGGTTAGATAATATATTCACTGCTGAACATTACTATAACTTTTTTGACATTTAAATGCCAAAACCACCTTATCATGAGCAGAATGAAGTGTTCCCACATATTAGAACGACCTCTTTTCCTGGCTGCCTCCATAATTACTTAATTTCAACTATATCAACAACGCAACAGCAAAAACACACCTACTCTCAATACATTGCAAACATTTTAAAGCTGTTTTAAAGTGTTGAGCGCTCTCAATTCAAAATTGTCTCAACCTGTCAGAATCGAGACGAGACGGTGCCAGGGAATCAATTGTTTGGACCGAGAACCAGTCAAACGATTCATTCCGACAACGAAACAGTTTGTGTTTCGGACTTTTTCCGCACCAAAACAGGCTCCGAAGCAGTGGTTCGATGTAATTTTACTGCAGGGCATGCTTTGAAGCTTTTGTTTCATACTGCCATCACTAGATTATGGTTTAACCCTTGGGACTTGTTGTTGAAACTCTGACTCCCTGTGTATGACCCCCGCCTGTGTTCTGGATCTTGTTCTTGGATTTTCCCCTCCAACCACACTCTCCTCAGCTCTGCCTTGCAGCTGTGTTTCACCGAGTGACAGAGACAGTCATCCTGCCCAGCTCCAACAGGTGGACCCCACCTTGCCTGCTTGAGAAACTCTCTCCCTCCTGCCTGTGAGGACCTGTCACTGCAGTATTGAGCCCTTCTGCAGCTGCAAAATAAATAAAAACTGTTCTTGTTTTTTAATCTAGTGTCTGGCTGATTTTGAATCCAAAAACCTCGCCTCATGACAAGATCTTATTTCTCCAGTTTTATCTTCCCTCCACTGACTCCCTGTCAAATTCAGAATAGAATTGAAGATCTTACTTCTAACCTACAAAGCTCTCAACAACCTAGCTCCATCTTATATTACAGATCTTATTGTTCCATATTTTCCTAACGTAACACTTAGTTTTCAGACTGTAGGTTTACTTGTGGTTCCTAGAGTTTCCTAAAGTAGAATGGAAGGCAGATCTTTCAGTTATCAGGCTCCTCTCTTGAAGAACCAACTTCCAGTTTCTGTCCGTGAGGCTGACACATTGTCTAGTTTTAGGTTGCATGTTCTCTGCATCACGTCATCCATCTCTCTGCCTTTGCCTGTCCTTTTCCACACATTTAAGAGTTGCCACCCTCAGTCCTACATTATTGACATCCTCTTCTCCCTCTGTCTGACTCCTCATGCTTGCTCCTCTTGCTACTTTTTATCTGATGATGTGATATTTTTGTTAAGCACTTTGGTAACAGTTTCTGTTTTAAATGTACTCTATAAATAAATCTGACTTGACTCATGGTCTTTGACTAACTTTTGCCCAATTTACACCAGCACCCTGTTTGTCAACAGCACTGGTGGCAGTTGTTGTTAACCCGGACCTCGACCGATCCAGTATGGTCTTGCTTAGATGAACTCGCATGTTAGTTTTGACAAAAGTGTCTTATGACGAATGCCCTTCCTGACACAACCCTCACCATTTACCTGGGCTTGGAACCAAAACAAAAGATGCACTGACTTGTGCTCCCTAGTGGCTGGTTTGAAAATAATGAAAAATATAATAATGATTAACAGAATTCAAAATGTCTTCCATAGCTAAGCAAACTTAGAATAGAAAAATAAATGGCTATAGCTTAGTCAATTTTACAAATAATGAGCTAAAACTATTTGTGGTAATAGCTGAGAATCATTCCCATCAGACTCATTATGTGAATAGATCAAAAGATCCTTTTTGTTTGCAATCACAGATAATGGTAGTTTTAAAATTTCATTAAAAAAGTCAAAAATTCTGTGATTCTATTTTAAAACTTTGCATGAAAGTTGGCAGGCGATATAAGTTTCATCAAGTAATTCACAAGTATTAATCTTGCAACATGTTAATGTATTATTTCTACAACTACCAGCATATATTTAGGTGTTGGTTGGACAACATTCAGCAATAAATTGTCATATTTAAATCTTTTATGTGAGAATTCATGTTCATATACCAAAAGATTATGTCAACTTTGCATTAAACAAGAAAAGGACATTTGTGTTTGGCCGATGATTTATTTGTTGTAACATTGTTTCTTGTCAATAAATCTTAAAATGTTGTAAAGCCTGTTTTTTCCCTTAAGATGGTGCCACAATTTTTAGGAAAATTTCAGACTACCTCTAGAATTTGGGAATGAAGAGTATAGAATATATTTTAGTGAACATTTTAACATCTATGGGATCAGCTTGGACATGCTGTTTGTTCCAGACTGACAAACAATAAGATACAATTTAGAAGTTTTTCATCAGCTCAGCTCACAAACTCAACTCCACTGCTTAACCCACCCATCCATTTCGCTAACAAATATTCAACACTTATTCATCTTTGGCCTTGTAGCTAATTGTAATAAAAGTCTTCTATCTATATATATATTTTTATAGTTTTATCAGATCACTAGATGTAAAACATATATAGGATAGTTAAATCCAAACATTAGTTTTGTGTCTAAGAGCTGCACATCATGTTAGAAACCAGTGTTTATTTTTAGCATTTGAATGACCAAGCTTTTAACGTGCGGTTGAGTAACTCACCTGGACCAATACAGAAGCCAGCGATGATGCCCACAACACAGCAAACACTGATATAGCGCATGAATAATATCTGAGTCTGTGGGAAAGATAAAATGTCAAATTGATGTAAAGATAGATAGTGTAGATACTTCGTTTTAAACACGTACAATGCCACTAATAAAATCTTTTCATAACTGACTTGCAGTTGAACCAACAAAGTCCATGCTCAGTTGCAGTTGCTTTCACAGACACATGAGGTCACTTGTTCTTCACATACAAATATAACTATACTGTTGTTTCCTGTATGCCAAAACATACTTCTGGTCTGGGAATAGTAGCAAATCTTCCACATCTAATTTTCATATTTTATACTTTTACATGTACAAGACTACAGGGTAATGGAAAAAATGTTTAAAATATGAAAATAAAATCTTATTTTAATTTACCTTTAGCTATAACTGTTTGGATTTAGATTTAATGTACCTGTACTTCAATTATAAACCACTTTAAAATGTAACACTGCTCTGAATTGGCTGTGTCCATGCTTTAAAACAACCTTGTGGTCTTTTCTTAGACACTGTTCTTTGTATAGTGCTTTGAAGTGCAAGAATACCCCCCCACCCCCCACCCACCCACCCACCCACACACACACATACCTGTAAAATTAGGGCTAACGTGATTCCAGCGCTGCAGATGCCCATCATTGTAAACCCCCCAATCATTAGATGCCTCCTGCCGAGCTTCTCTATGGTGAAACACTAGACGAGATTCAGAACTCATGTTAGACACTGGTTACTGAAGGTTACTGAACACACACTATGCAAAGCAAAAGGAAAAACATAAACCACAGCAAGATTAGTTGTATCTGATCAATAAGGACTAGCTACACTATTCAGGTTTAAACATATTTTTTACTTTTAATGTTTTTATCACTGTTGTAAAAACTGTGAAGGCATGGAACCAGGTGGGTTGAAGAGATTTTTTGTCTTACTTCTGTCTTAATTAATTATTACTCTGGGTGATACTTACAGTTTAAGATTTGTTAGTCTTAGCCTGAGTCACAGTACATGTAAAAGTGATTAAAAGAGACATCTGCATCTTCTCTGTAAATGTTATAGTACTTTATAAACAACATTAAAACATGCCTACAGCAATAAGAATTCCGATACAATAGTCCCTCGTTTATCATGGGGGATCGTAACCTAAAGACCCGCGATAAGTGAAAAACTGCCAAGTAAGAATAGTAGTACAAGTAGTGAGTAGTAGTTTATTTTATATTATTATATTATATATATATCTTGCAATATTCTAAGCAATGTTTCTAAGCAATGTTTCTAAACTCTAAATGCTCTAAAAGAGCATAGATTGTCATGATTTCAGCTCTCTTCCTCTGACTGCGCTCTCGGCCACACACACTTCTCCACTCTGCACGGATTCAGCTGATCAGCTGCAGGAGGAAGTTTCACCCCCAGCTGTGGGCTGCATACAGGTGCTAAATAATTTAAAATAATTTATTTTAAATAAAAAATCCATGCCGATCATGCAACTCGTCCATCAATCAGTCACTGTGTCATGTCCAATCTTACTTTGAAAAACTGCAATAGAAGGAGTCCGCAAAAAATGAAATAGTGAGAGACTAATGTATAAAGAAAGTACTGTACTTTCCAGACTATAAGCCGCAACTTTTTCACACGCTTTGAACCCTGCGGCTGATACAATGCTGTGACTGGATTTTTTTTTATTTTTATGGATTTTTTAAATTGTTGTTTTTTGATGGGATGTGCTAATGAGCTTCATGTCGCCAAAACATTAGCCTCGTCACACCCGGGTGCTCACATAGCAGCCCAAAACACAACTGTCTTGGGGAGTGGGTCCTCGTGAATCAGTGAGACTACTTGTCAGTGTTGCCAGATAGAGTTGAGGTTTTCCAGCCCAAAAGTCTGTTAAAAACCGCCCCATTGCATAAAAACCCACCCAATCAATATATTGTTATATTTACTGTTTGAACACACACACCATATATATATACACACACACATATATATACACACACACACACACACACACATATCTATATATATATCTATCTATCTATCTATCTATCTATCTATCTATCTATCTATCTATCTATCTATCTATCTATCTATCTATCTATCTATATATATAT